GATAGATGTGGAACGATTTGGAATGCTAAGATTCTAAACAGTCTGTAATGGTACCATCAATCAACTAGCCACTTCTCAGTCACGAGGATGACTTTATTAAAAGATGTGTCACTAACAAGATTTCTGTTTAGAATGGCGTGCAATACATCAAGCAGGTAATATGAACAAAGTTCAAACAGACTCTATACCAATGAGTTACTTTCCCGCCCGGGAAGAACCGCGCCAAATTAATGGGAATCATAACGGCTTGGGTATTCCAAAACATCGTCGTTCCCAGGCTCTGAGCGATAGGCGTAGACATAAGCGAGCTCCCTTATCTCCCACCTGCCCTTGAAGTGTTTCTGCATTTCGCTAACAAGCTTGCCGTTTATGAGCATGTGCATGGGTCACTAGGCAACAACTATCAACATATGAGTTAATACAGAAAGCATTGCAGGGTAAGAGGTCCCAACAGGTGAAGCATATATACAATGAACAAATCATGACAGCTTGCTGACAACTGGGCACTCTATGAAATTAATGAGCAGTGGGTTTAGAACAGATAAAAGGAAGTACTTCTTCACCCAAAGAGTAATTGACATGTGGAATTCACTACCACAGGAAGTGGTGATGGCTACAAGCATAGACGGTTTCAAGAGGGGACTGGATAAACATATGGAGCAAAGATCCAGCAGTGGCTCTAAGTCACAATGTATAGATGGAACATTATATCTGGGACAGCGATACTCTGTATTCTTGGTGCTTGGGGGGCAACAGCGGGAGGGCTTCTGGAGTTCTGGCCCTGCTGGTGGACCTCCTGATGGAATGTTAGACTGGATGGGCAATTGGCTTGATCCAACATGGCTTCTCTTATGTTCTTATGTTCACCTGGTTTGTTCACAGGCTGTGTCCATGTACTGTCTGTTTTTTGAAAAATATTTTACCATTCTCCTGGAATCTTTTAAACTAATTCAGCGTATATTAGCAACAAATGAAGTATTTAAAATGTTAAAAGGCATTACCAGTGGTTGTCACAAGTAAGGGCAATTTATCCTAAAGTAATGAAGTAAAAGAGTGTTTGATGTTCTGGAATCAAGGAGTACTACCACAGAGCCATTTCCAATGGCATGGGTAGCTCATTGTCCTCTAAAGGATGTCTGTCCCATGAGGGTAATAAGTACTTGAAGATGTCTATTTCTAGCCTTTAAAAAAGTGTGAATTGATTTCCTTTCCAATTAGCTTTTTGTTATTCTGAACTATTCACCAAAGTAGATGAGTGTTCAGAGAAACCATTTGACTCCTTTAGAACTACTGGACTTTTTGAAGTTATCAGGGGAGGTGAATGTGCTGTCATTTATGACTTTTGGGTGAGTTCATATAAAATGGGGTCACTGTATATTTCAGTACCACCCATGGGTTGGGTCCAAAGGTGTCTTTTTACTCATGGAAGGAATCCTTCTTTGAGTGAAAAATTCCTTTTAAATGCAGAAGGGCATCTTTGGTTCCAACCCAAGGTCTCGAAGGGACTTGACTATGCCAGGGATGACCAAATTCAGTATTCTTGACGGTCTGTTTGCTTTCCATACAGCATTCCATGAGCTAGAAGTATATTCTGGTGGAAGTTGGTATGGCAAAGAATTCAGTTCAATGTCGAGGAAGTCAGTATATGATGTTACTAATATGACACAATATATACTTTGTATATTGCAGGTAGGTCTATTTTTCACAGATATGATTTAGTACATACTTAAATGATCTCACCAAGTACATTGCAGATGACAGTGCAATCCTTAGCATAGTTACATCCTTTTAAGTCCATTGAAATCAACTCTGTTGCGGATTGCACTATAAGTGTGCCTGCTATCTCTATTACGCCACTGTTATCAGAGTAGCTATCGGGGGAGAGGGATGCAGTGTTGTTTATGACTTGATAGCACCACTTTTATCACATTTGTCACAAGTATGAGCCTCTGAAAGTTCTTTACTGCAATGTACAAACGGACCTTGTCATAACTAGGCAATCTCTGTCATAAATTTGGACCAACTCGGCACCATACTTCAGGTGAACAGCTAGATTCGAGTCCATGAGCACCTTAGAAACCAACAAGATTTTGGGGGTATGAGCTTTCGACAGTCAGCGCTGCCTTGGCTCTTGAAGTCTCATACCCCCAAAAGCTTGTTGGTCTCTAAGGTGCTGCTGGATTCGCATGCAGCTCTTCTCCTGCTGACCAACATGGCTGCCCTCTGAAACTGCACTCCAGTAAATTCATTCTTCTGGACCATATCTACATAGTAAAATAATGCTACGTGCAGAATTAAAACTGAGGTGTGTCATTAAAGCGTGGGGTTTTATGCAGCTTGACAGCCATCTTTCTTTTCTTAATATGTGGAACTATGAGCAGACTTCTTTTCCTAAAAACTTTGATTAAAATTTATTTAGCCCAGGGGCCAGATAAAAGTGATGTTCAGGCCTGTATCTATCCAATGGATACCAAATCACAAATACTTAAATAGTTTTGATAGGTGAACTCCCCCTGTGTTGTTGTTGTTTTTTAAACCATTTGGATAGCGTACTGCCTTTGCTTTTTTCTAGAGTTGAAAGGCAAACCCCCCGCCCCCCAGTTGCTAGGAGCAGGAAAAAAATTGGGGGGAACAGTGTCAGAGCCCAGCCCCACAAAGGTCTAGAAATTTACCCAATCTCTGTTGTTGTTGCCATAGAGATTAAGAAAGCTCCTAAAGCATCACAGGGTGGGTACAGTAGCAGTTACACTTTCCTTCCCAGTCTCTCCCCCCCCCGAGCTCCCAGGGATTGTGGGCACGGGCATGGCATCCCTACTATATTCCAAGCTGGAAATTGCATGTAGCAGGTCACAGTGATTACCTGAGTAACTTTCATGCACTGGGTTCAGTTCTACTGTTTCTTAGTCCTCTTTGGTTGGTTGGTTTTTTAAAAGTGCTACAGACACTGTGAAGATTCTTTCTGCTTCCTGTTGCACTTGAGTGGAGAGCTTAAGCTAATAAGGCAAAGCCTTGAAGTATAATTTCTGCACAGCACAGTGCAGCAGATTGTCAGAAAGTTTTGATCATGTTACTGTTAATTATGCACTATATTTGTCTGACCTATTTGAACAGGATCCAGAGTTGGTGCGCAACATCTGCCGCTGGGTGAGACAAGCTGTTCAGATCCCTTTCTTTGCCAAGCTGACCCCCAATGTCACAAATATTGTGAACATTGCAATGGCTGCACAACAAGGTAACAAACTTAGATGTGTCCCTTTGCATTGTGATTTAGGCTTGCAGCTTAATAGTAAAGAATGACAGATGACTAGCATTTAGCTGCAGCATCCAGGGGCATGAGGGGGGAAGAGGAGCCACATAATGTGTAGTGTATTTCTCAGGCTGTTGTAGTGTGTTTCTCAGGCTGCGTCACTCCTTGCTGTGGCCTCAGACCAGGGCCCCTTTATATTTATGCATAAGGGCTGCCACCTGCTTTACATAAAGGCACCTAAATAGCTGTACAGTGCTTAGCTCATGCCTATTCCTACACTTCTGTGCCTACCCACAGTGAAAAGTTCCTTCCTTCTCTCAGTCCACCTCCACACTGTTTTCTTTCAAGTTCCTTCAGCCAGTCCCTCCTTTGGTTCTTCGGGGATGGAGTCTGATTGCTGTCCCAAAGCACCTCCTCCGACTCAGTCCTTCTTCTTCTGCCAGCTTCTTCCCAGCCTGGAATAGACTCTGCCGGTGTCTCAGGTTTCTCACAGCCCCTTGCCCCCCTCCCTTGGCTGGCCTCTGTGACTCTTCCTTGTCCTGGCATCTTTGGCAGCTTCTGTCTCTGCTGCTCCTCCTTAGCCTCTCTCTGCTGCTGCTGCTCCTCCCCCTCTCATTTCCCCAAACACCGAACTTCTTTAACAGTGCGATCCTAACAGGTTACTGGGAGAAGGATTCTGAGTAGTCCTGGCTAGCATTGCTCTCTAGGGCTGTGATCACACACACTAAATAATCCACTTTCAATCCACTTTCTAGATGGATTTTACTGTGCAAAGTGGCAAAATCCATTTGGAAAGTGCACTGAAAGTGGATTATTTAGTGTGTGTGCTCACAGCCTATATCTCACATTGGGATGTCTGAACTTCACTTTTGCTGCGGCAGTGATGTGTCACTTCGGCTGGTTTGTTGGCTGCACAAGGATTGGGATTTGTGAGCTTTTTACAGCTTCTGAGAAGAGCAGTTGTAGCTCCAGAGTTTTTCCAAGAGAAATATACATCGGCACACAAAAGAGTTGCCATTTTTCTGTACTACATATGGAAGAATATAAAACAATTATGCTGGTTCAAAGATTACCAGGAACTTTTTACACGGTGGAGGCATGATATCATTCCTACCACTCCACTCTGCAGGTAGAGTAGAGTAGAGTAGAATAGTTCTTTATTGTGGCCTACAAGCCATAACACTCTGCAGATGTATTAAACACATGCTCCCCCCCCCCGCTCATTCATGCAGACATCTCAAAAAAGGAGGGAGAGATTGCATGAGCCAGACACTTGCATGGGATTCACAGTTCATTCATGAAATCATCTCTTTGGTGGAGGGAGTGGAACACTGTAACTCTATAACTTTAAGAACAAGGCAATGTATTACCCAGGAGTGCATAGTCCTCTGTGAACCCCCCCCCCCCCGAAATCATCTTGATATTATGGGAACACTTTCCTCAAAATTCCTATGAATATTTTGCCTGAGAATGGGTTTTTAAGTTTGGCATCCATTTGGGTTTTGCAGGAAAGATCAGGAGCAGAACTTTAATATCTCCATCCATGGATATTTTTGTAGAACCCACATGTGTCCTTATGGCTATTCTGTCACAGAGCAAAAAAGAACCTGCCTCAAATCTGTCTTCAGTGTAGCAAGCAGAGAAGGCCTTTGGCAAATGGCTATTGTTAGAATTACCTTCTCATAAGGATATTAATATTGATACATCAAAGCTTAAGCTTATTTCAGCTTTATTGGCAACTGCACACTTGTGCATTGCAATAAACTGGAAGAAGGATAAATCTTTAACATTGTGGAAGGTTAAGGTTCTAAGTTATCTCACTTTTTGGACAAGTGGAAGTGAAATGTCATAAAAGTGGGGAAATCCCCTCCAAGTATAGGTTCTTTATTTTCACGATTGTTGAATCTGTATTTCCTGAAAGTGTATTTTATTCACTTGTTTTAATGAGCATAGGAATTAACATCACATTCATAGTTTTCTTTCTTGTATTGGTTGTGTTCTATTTGATTTTATGTATGTTGGAATTCATTTTGTTGTTAAGATGTTAGAATAATTTTTTTTAAGAGAGAAGGCCTTTGTAACACATTCCCCCTTGAGGTTAACCTGGCACCTACTTTACTTTCTTTAGGTACCAAGCCATAAGACATCTTTTAGCCCAGCCTTTTAATTAGGGGCTTTGTCTTATCAGCTTTTTAATGGTATGCTTCTGTTTTATGGGTAGCTTTACCCTTTTTATGTCCAATTGCTTGTTTTAATGGGGTTTTATGTTGTGGCTTATGCTTCTTATGTCCGATTGTTTTAATGGGTTTTTAATGTTGTAGTGATTTAAATTATCAGGACTCTGAACAAGTGCCATTGAAATATCCTAAATAAATAAATAAAGCTGCAACACAGAAAAAATGAGGTTGAGGCTGTGACTCAGTGGTAGAACATTTCCTTAGCATGCAGACCATCCTTGATCCAATGCCCCTCCAGTTAAGGAATCAGGTAATGTGAAGGGGACTTCTCTTTGAGATCTGGAGAGCCACTGCACAATACTGACCTTGATAAACCAATGGTCAGAGTCACTATGGGGCACGTTCATGTGCTCCCATTCCCAATATATATGATTCTCTTGTTTCAAATATTACCCAGAGGTGCACATCAGTTTTCATCAAGCATGATTCAGCATGTAGCTGTAAGTCCACCACAGCTCCCAGATACATCCATCCATGGAAAAGATTGCTGAGATAGTGTGTGCATGCTTGAAATCCTTTAAATGTGTTACAGAAATACTTAGCATTGTTATTATTAATCATAATTAATTCCTTAAGACTGATCACAGTTAAATAGGGAGCTAGGCTTACCTTAATCATCTTTGGCCTGCTGCCGTAGAATAATTTTCAGTGTCTGTTGGTACACTAACAAGCTTATTAAGGTTATCACTGACATTGTTCACAGGTGGTGCAGATGGTGTTACAGCCACCAATACCGTGTCAGGGCTGATGGGACTGACAGCAGATGGCACACCTTGGCCTGCTGTCGGACTGGGGAAGAAGACCACATATGGTGGAGTGTCAGGTAGGTGTTGACCTTTTCTGCGCAAAATGGCTCCTTTGAGGCCAGCAAACTATCAGGAGGCTCTTGTAGCGAAACTAAGATGTTGCGTCTGCTGTGGCATGCTGAGTTCTTGATGCTTGTTATGGGTCAGGATTTCTAATAGTCATGACAGATGGAACAGACTGAGTGTGAACACCCTTGGGTTGACCTTTCCTTAATGGTGAAACACTGCAATGGAATGCAGTGAGAGGACCACCACTGGGAAATTTCTTTTCTTTTGGGACCCACAGTTTTCCTGGAATTTTTCATTATGTCACAGTTGTCAGACCTGATGTTAGACAGAGGCTAGTTAAAGGGAATTGCAAGAAGAAAAAACAAGCATTCCCAATGTGGTAACCAGTTTTTAAAATATGTTTTTAACCACCAATCTAGTATTTCCCCATTTGACCACTATAAACATCATATGTTGGATTCCAGTACAAATTGATATCTTAACCCTGGAAAGTGGGGGGGGGAGTTTTACAAACCAATACAGTGATTTATTTTCACTGATGAATTAACCTCTTTGAGCCCATGCCCAGAGTTACTGTGACAACATGAACCTGGTCCTGCAGAGACAATGGCCTGAGCTTCCGGACTGTAGTGGTACAGAGATTAGTTTCCTTGGAGATATAAACAGTGGTAAATATTCTTAGCATAATAGTGTCCTACTGTTTAAGCAAAATGCAGCTGAATCAGGCCAAATATATTTGGACGAGGCTGGACAGACAAAGGAGAATAGCGTTCTTTCATGTTGTTCTATTGTGCGTCAAGAAACAGGAAGGCTGTTTGGGGGTGACTAGCCTACTCTGTGTGTGTGTGTGTGTGTGTGTGTGTGTGTGTGTGTTTTAACTGACTTATAACTGTATGGAAACTAGTTGTGGCAGTAAATTGGTCCCCAGCCTTATATAGATAACTACCTTTTGTAGGGAGGTTATAATGGCTGGTGTTTAAAATAAAAATGAAATGCAGGAACAAGTATTGGCTTACTGCAGACCTGAGCGCTATCCATTTCTTTGTGTGAGGGGTAAGGATAGAGGAATGGACAGACAGATGAAAGAAGAAGGGGCAACACACTTGAAACTCTTGGGGCTTAAGTACTTCCTACACTTTATTATCCTATTTCAATTTTTTCCAGGCTGCCATGTTGACAGCAAAAGAATAAAAGAGGTCACAGAGGGTGCTGTGCATTAAAAATTAATAAAAGAACTATTGCAGTAGTATTTTATATACGTCACACTGTTCACTTTTTTTTCCTCTTTCATTTTGAGCTGCCATTTCTGAATATTCCTCCACGGCATGTCAGTCCAATAAAATGCTGAAATTGCTGCATTATGAAAAGTGTGTCCTCTATGCCACAGATTTAAAGTATGTGTATGGTACAGATTATAGCAGCACCTGACCTCTTGGCCCTTTTCAGGCCTGTCCCCATTTCCATAGGGAAAATAATCTGTTTTCCTGGTTGATAATTCAACTCTTTGGGGGGAAATCAATCATTGCTGGAAAGCTTGTGAGAAGTGAGGTGATTTTCCCTCTGAACCTAAGTGGACATTAAACAGGTGGTGGTTTTTGCAGTGTGTCTTTAAATGTTTTAAGTTTTACATAATTGGTTAATAAAAGGGAGGGGAGAGCAACTTTAAGTGATCCAGCCAAAGGAAAGTCCCATTGATTTCAAGGAGAGTTAAGCAAGTGATTGTCTTCTATTAGATTCTTAAGAGTACATAAATTTGATAGATTCCAGAAAAAGTAGGTGACTAAACAGTAAGGTTCCCTAGAGCTTAATTAACTTCTTGAAAAACATGCATATTTACATGAGCTGTCAGACAGTTCTTAAATGGCCTTTGTGTATTTCTACTTGTTGGAGCAAGGAGTAGGTATGAAAGTGTTCTCATTCTTCTTGGTTTGCATCATGTTACCCAGGAGTTTAGCCTCTGGATCTGAATTTTCTGAAGCCAGAAAAACTTTGGACTTTTTAGGGTGTTTCTGGTTTAGGCTTAAAGGGGAAACTCATTCAGTTTGAAGTGTTCTGCTGTGAAAGGTGCTGCTGTTTATTCCTTCCAGGTCATTCCTGTTTTGCAGAGAACTTGCACATACACACCTTCAAAAACTTATACAGTGATCCTCTTTCCTGCATAGGGACATATATTTCTAGTTGTTTTAAGTGACAAAGTGGGTTTGCCCTTGCAGTGAACAATTCTGCTAGATAAAGGTTGCCCTTCCCAATTATATATGACCTGTTATTGCATTACCACTCCATGTTCCAAACAGTCCATCACTAAGGGAAGTACTCCAATTTGCACTCCTTTAGATTATACCTCCCAGTCTCTTCCGGCATCCCACAATCACTGGCTAATGGAGACACACACTCTCTAGAAAGTGAAACTGAATACTGGATCAGACCTGTAATCCACTATGGGATAGTTGTACAGATGATATTATTTTAGGTGTGCTGTCTTCCTTCTCCTTTTTCTGTTCCATATCATTGTTAGTGAATTGTTCTTACTAGATTTCACAGCATCTCAGGGAGTATCTGATAATTTCTTCTTGAAAGCACAGCCCTCATTCCTGTATAGACATGCATTGGATAGTTCCCGTGTCATCATTGATGGCAACGTTTTTGCCTTCCTGTCCCTGCAGTTAATACCTGATTATGTTAATTGATTATGCATTCCCTTCTCCAGTTCATAGACTCTTAGAATCACAGAGTTGGAAGGGGCCATACAGGCCATCTAGTCCAACCCCCTGCTCAATGAGGGATCAGCCTAGAGCATCCCTGACAAGGTTTTATTCAGATGCTGCTTAAAGACTGCCGGTGAGGAGGAGCTCACCACCTCCCTAGGTAGCTAATTCCACTGTTGAACAACTCTTACTGTAAAAAAGTTTTCCCTAATATCCACCCATTATCTTCCTGCCCTTAATTTAAACCCATTATTACAAGTCCTATCCTCTGCGGCCAACAGAAACAGTTCCCTGCCTTCAAATACTTAAAGAGAGCAATCATGTCCCCCCTCAAGCTCCTCTTCTCCAGACTGAACATTCCCAAGTCCCTCAGCCTTTCCTCATAGGGCTTGGTCTCCAGGCCCCTGATCATCCTCATTGCTCTCCTCTACACTCACTCCATTCTGCCCACATCCTTTTTGAAGTGAGGCCTCCAGAACTGCACACAATACTCCAGGTGCGGCCTGACCAATGCAGTGTACACTGGGACTATGACATCTTACAATGTTAATGTTATGCTTCTGTTGATACACCCCAAGATCACATTTTTTGTCACTGCATCACACTGGCTGCTCATATTTAACTTACATTCCACCCGTACCCCGAGATCTTATTCACACACACTGCTACTGAGAAGTGTATTCCCGAGACTTCCAGTTTTGGCGACTCACAGGCAGGTGTGCTCCATTGTAGTTCTGATGCGAGAGCCCTGCAAACATGCTGATGGGGGGGTCTGAGTTGAACTTGGACCCCCCCAGACCCCCTGTAGAGGGGTCATAGCCTGGGGCACGAGAGGTGCCTCTCCCAAGGCGGAAGCCAAAGGATTGAGGCACTTTTTTGCCTCTATAGGTTCCCGCGGCACGGAGCTGGTATGGCACTAAGAGGCGTATTCCGGACCGAGCATACAAGGATCCCAAGGAATGATCGTCTCTACATGCACAATGAACACAAGTACAAATGTGAGTGAAGCCATGACCCAGCAAACAATTGATAAAATGCTAGCAGTAAAGCCATCCCAAAGCCCCAAACAAGTGGAAGGGGGAGGGGAATGCCCGAACCCGGAAAAGCTGAGTTTAAAGTGGGAGGCTGAAAGGGCAGCTTGAAGGAAGTGGATTACGATGGAGTGTGCGGCAGACCAGCAAAAAAGCAATAAATCACCAGACTTACAGAGAACTGTTAAACTTTCCTCTTGTGTAAACAATGATGCAGCGAGCAGAAAAAATGGTGCCAAAAGCGAAACTTATAACAAGAACGGCCAGCACATCATTGCGTCTACTAGTCCTGATGTAACCACAAACTTTCCCAAACTGATGGCTACAGCTTTGCGCCCTTTACTGGACCAGATTACCAACTTTAACATCAAGCTTGATACGTTGCAAAAGAAACTAAAAACTTCAGCGAGAAAGAAATAAAGTGGATGTTCCTGAAGCAACAACAGAAAGTGGCAGATGGACCTGAGACAGTGGAGGAGAACAAAGATGCAGAAGAAGAAGAAGAGAAGGATGGGGAAGATTCTGATACCATCTTGATTAGTCTGGCAGAACGCTTTGATCCTGAAGCAGAATCAGGGGCTCCCACACCTAAAGCATTTAAAAACTAATTTGGATTTTCACAGGAGGAGAGGAAAATGCAAAATAGTTTAACTTCGATAGTCTGATGTTTATTCTTAATGCATAACTTTAAACCTATGATATTTACACTATAGCCAAAGAGATTGTGATTGCTTGGTTGACACTTTTATATTATGAATCCTCATATTTTACTATTAAGATAATAGGAATGTATCAACAATCTTATATTTCTGTACCATGGATCCTTGTTACTCTTTATTTTAGGTTGTTCCCTTTTCCTGACCCTGTAGAAAATTAAAAAAATTGAAAAGGAAAAAAAAAGAAGTGTATCCGCTATCCAGTATGCATGTTCCTCATTTTTGTTACCCAGATGTAGAACTCAGCTCTGATCCTTGTTAAATTGCATCTTGTTAACATCCACCCACTTTTCCAGTGTGCTCAGATCTTGTTGAATTCTATCTCTATCTTCTGGTGTGTTTTCTGCTCCTCCCAATTTTGTGTCATCTGCAGATTTAATGAGTAGCCCCTCCACACCCTCATCCAAATCATTTATAAAAATATTGAAAGTACCAGACCCCGAACCGAGCCCTGTGGCACCCCACTGGACACCTCCCTCCATTCAGATAAAATGCCATTGACAACTACATTTTGAGTGCAGTTCTCCAACCAGTTCCTTATATACCTAACTATCCTCGAATACACTCCACAGTCCTCTAGTTTACCCATCAGAACATCCTGGAGAACACTGTCAAAAGTTTTACTGAAATCCAGGCAGAAGAAGAAGAGAAGAAAGAGATTGGATTTATACTCCACCCTTCACTACCCCAAGGAGTCTCAGAGCGGTTTACAATCTCCTTTCCCTTCCCCTCCTCTTCGACCTTTTCAGTTTTTCATTCACTTCTACATTCCAGTTCTGGAAATCATTCCACCAAGTCTCTGTAATGCCTACTAAATCATATCCCTCTGCCTGCATTAGAATCTCAAGCTCTTCCTACCTATTGCCCAAACTTTGGGTATTGGTACACAGACACCTGAAGCTCCGCACGTTTGGCTCCATTAGACCTGGCCCTCCCAGGTGGGCCTGTGTTGTTTGCTGTCCCTCATTTAAACTCCTGTGTTGGTCGTCTCCTTCCCCTTGCGGTGTCAGTTTAAAGCCCTCTTGATGAAGCTCCCCAGGTTTCTGCCAAACACATTCTTCCCTGACCTTGACAGTTCTTCAAGGCACATGACCTGGCTACAGTGATCCATGCGACAGTCACCTCAAGGCTGGACTACTGTAACACTCTCTACATGGGGCTGCAGATCCGGAAGCTGCAGCTAGTGCAGAATGCGGTGGCCAGGCTGTTGATGGGTCTCCCCAAGTGGGAGCACATCCAGCCTGGGCTGAAAGCGCTGCACTGGCTGCCAGTGGTGTACCGGATTCGCTTCAAAGTGCTGGTTCTTACCTTTAAAGCCCTATATGGCCAGGGTCTGACCTACCTGAGGGACCGCCTTTCCCCACATATACCCCCAAGAGCACTTTGGTCGGGGACACAATACCGCCTGGTGATTCCACCCCCTGGAGGCAAAGCTTGCTTCAACCAGGGCCAGATCCTTCTCAGTGGCAGCCCCCACCTGGTGGAACGAGCTCCCGGAGGAGATCAGGGCCCTGCGGGATCTTATGCAGTTCCACAGGGCCTGCAAGACGGAGCTCTTCCGCCAGGCTTTTATATAGGGGCCGCCACCTCTGCCACCTCTATCACTACCATCATTGGAACAACGGGCTTGGGAGTGGTCCCCGGAAGAACTGCCATAATTCTGCATGGCACTGATGCTGCTGGACTGGCTTGGACCATCGACAGGACAATTTCGCCCTAATGAAATGATCGATACCATCTTCAGAGACCATCTTGTTGTATGGAGCACTTTATTTGTTTTTGTCGTGACTTAATAGCTTTTAATGTTTTATACTGCTTCTATGTATGGGCTTGTTTATACTGTTTCTATGTATGGGCTTGTGCCCCCGTGTAAGCCGCCCTGAGTGACCAATTGCTTCTCTTGGTGGGCCAGCTCGGTGGCTGTGAGATTCCCACCCACACACCATTCAATGTTTATAGTTATTGCAGTACTGTTGCCGAGCAGGACTATCAAAGAGCAGCTTGGATTCATTGGGGGGGGAGGACTTATTATCTGTACAAGCCATATGCTATTTATTTCTTAATTTTGTTTCCTAATTTACCCATTTCATTTCACTGTATTTGTGATTGCTTGTAGCAGAGTAAGAGTAATTAAAAAAAAAAATCAGTGGCATTTATTTACCTAAGAAATTTTGTATCCTGCCCTTCTTGCGAGGAGCTCAGCATGTGTACACCATTCTCACTTCCTGCATTTTATCTTCACGGAAGACCTATGAGGAAGGTTTGGCTAAGAGAACATGATTGTTCCAAGGTCACCCCGTGAGCTTCATGACATAGAGGGGATTTGAACTGGGGCATCCAAGAGCCAGGTCCAACTCTTTAACCCCTCTACACCATGCTGAGTTCTAGTGCTGTCATACATTCCATGTAGAATACAAAGTAATTTTGGAGTTGTATGTATTCTATAACTTCTCCTTTGCCTGTTCAGTTTTCAGCACATTTTGGTATATCCCAGTGTGAATATTCATGTTATGTCTTCACAAACAGCCATTTGTTTATTTTGTTGTTGTTGTTGCCATCCAGTCACAGCTGACTTATGGCGACAGTAGGATTTTTAAGGCAAGAGATGTTCAGATATAGTTTGCAATTGCCTGACTCTGAGTTGCAACCCTGATATTCCTTGGTGGTCTCCCATCTAAATACTAGCCAAGGCCAACCCTCCCTAGCTTCTGAGATCCGATGAGATCAGGCTAGCTTGGGCTATCCAGGTCAGGAAGTTTAGTTTGCTTAGTATTGACTAATGGCTTATACTTATTGCTCCTGCAGTTTGTCCTTGTCATCAAAAACATCTGCTCACATGAATAAATTGTGGGTATTGCTGCATCCATGGGAGGGTATTGCTATAAAGTCAGTGAACCTTCTTTCCACACCCCAAACATACACCAGCCCTTCTGTGCACTTGTTCCATTAGAACCAGGTCAGAATAGGCCACGATAGCTCATTCCCGTCAAATCTTGGAAGCTAAGCAGGGTCAGTCCTGGGAGGAGGAGGAGGAAGAGGAAGAAGCAGCAGCAGCAGAGTTGGATTTATACCCCACCCTTCACTCAGATTCTCAGAGCAATTTACAATCTACTTCCCCTCCCCTCCCCACAACAGATACCCTGTGAGAAGAAGACGAGAAGAAGAGATTGGATTTATACCCCGCCCTTCACTACCCAAACGTGTCTCAGAACCGCTTACAAACTCCTTTCCCTTCCCCTCCCCACAACAGACCCTCTGTGAGGTAGGTGGGACTGAGAGAACTCTGACACAAACTGCTCTTGAAAGAACAGCTTGGAGAGAGCTGTGACTGGCCTAAGGTCACCCAGCTGGCTGCATGTGGAGGAGTGGGGAATCAAACCCGGTTATCCAGATTAGAGTCTGCCGCTCTTAACCACTACCCCAAATTTGGATGGGAGACCACCAAGGAAGTCCAAAGTTATTATGCAGAGGCAGGAAAAGGCAAAGCACCTCTTTTCGTCTCTTGCCTTGAAAACCCTACAGGGTCACCATAAGTTGGCTGTAACTTGATAGTGCTTTACACACACACATAGGAGAGGGCCACCTGCCCCACCTTGCTGCTGGTCTGTGCTGTGCCCAGAAGACCCCAAAGGTCTCAGATGTGAGGTGGCCTCTACTTCTCTCCTCTAGTCTCAGCAGGGGACTTGCTGACATCTTCTAATTAACCTCTTCCATCCTGCTTTTAAAGATATCCCTGGATGCTGCACATGCCCCACAGGGGCTTCTAATCATTTGCAGGCAGAGAACCTCCTGATGGATGCTATTGCTGTACTTCATTTTCTTTCCTGTCTGCTGGTAGAGTGGGTGAGCTGCCCTTAGCACCCTGTTCTGTTTCTCCTTCATTGTCACTCTACTGCAGAATGGCTTGGAGGTGTGTGGAGTTTTAAAGGGGCTGCATCCCCAGCCTTGCCTACCTGCCTCTTGCCTGTTTCCAGATGAATGGGCAGTCAGCCTTGCACAACCACCATCCTGCCAATCAGCTGTATGGTCAGCAGTGATATTTATTTATTTATTTATTTATTTATTTATTTGTTTGTTTGTTTGTTTATTCTTTAGATTTGTATCCCGCCCTCCCCGGAGGCTCAGGGCGGCTAACAAGGGCATAAAATGCTTGATAGAAACAATAAGAACAGTATAAAAATACAATACAATATACAACATAATACAATTCA